AAAACCAAAGTATGCGTGAAGAGAGGCAAGAGATTTGAAGGTGAATACACATGGAGGTGAATACGCACTCGAGGCCTCAGTGAACCTTACCCTCACCCGAAGGGGAGAAAAATATCCACTCGTCTTCACCACCGACTGTCACTGAGGTGCACATCAACAACCACGCAACAGGAAATATTCTGCGCACCTTATCCTTGAGCTCTTCGGTTTACTTCACTTGAAGGGGGGAAAGAGGCCAAGAAGAACGACAAAAACAGAACAGATACTCGGGACTGTCAACCTGGCCGGCAGCATCGCTGCCATACCAGCAGAGAGTGAGTTTGACAAGCAAGATTCTCGAAGCAAGCACCTCAACCTCCTTGATTGCTCGATTCGTCCCGACGTAGAGAAAAATGAATGCTGATCATGCCACAGTGACGAAGCCGAAGTCAGCACTGACGAGAAATATCTCGACGCCATTGCCGTATCCCTTTCCCGCGGCTATACCTCCAAAGGCAGCCCGGACGCTGATGGAAAAGCCCAAGTCGGGATGGCCAGCCGGATCAACACGCAAGAACCTCCCGCCCTGGGATCGCTCGATCGATGTCGTCTATCACAAATACCGACGTGACCAGGCGGTGCCCGACAAGGCCACTGATTTTGAGAGATCGGTCGCAATGTTCTTCGCCGATCATCAGCGAACGCAACAGCAGGAGCCGACTTCTCCATACCTCAGACTTCCCGCAGTCGCACGCTTCCAGATATGCCAATATCTCATTGCCGACGATGAATCCGACATGCCCATCTGCCTCAACGACGGCCGTTTCGTGAGAGAGGTCTGGACTGACGATGAGTACACTTCACTAGCTACTGCCATGAGACCTCTGCAGCCGTACCTCGAAGTGTCTTTCGCTCTGCGCGCGGATATGCTGATTGCATTTCTCATGGGAGAGCGCTTCCACATCACCATGTCGCCTTTCGTGGGTCCCTACCTGAACCCTTTGGCAACACTGTGGTGTAATAAATACGGTCACTTCATGCAGCAGGTCATCGTTGAGCTCGACCTGACTCGATTGGGTTTCGGGCCAGGCAAGGAAGCCTGCAAGTTACGCGCAGGAACCGTTAATATGGACGATCTCATCGGGGCTTTTGTGAGAGGCCAATTGAAACGAAAGAACCATTCGACGCTCAAGAGCCTTGTGCTACTCTGCCGGAGATTCTGGGGTGAACGCCCTTCCGACCATCTTCCCCCAGGTTCCAGGTCTGCCATCGAGCAGAACAACCAGGGAATGTCGACGGAGCCGGAACAAGTGTTCACACCCAAGCGATCGAGCTACGGAGCTGACTTCTCATACTGCCCTGATGAGTTCCTCAGAATCTGCGAGCCATTCGTGCGCCTAAATGGCTTGGTTGACTCGATGCGCCTCTGCGGTTTCAGCAATGGCTATACACATTCTCTGCTGCGCCGTATCTTTCCTGTTCCTGGTAGAAGCGAGGATATCAAGTACCATACGTACCGAGTGGCGCCTTCTTCGGTATGGCCGCGCATTCCCGGCCAAAAGTCGTGGGTCGACAAAGGATACGGTAAATTTCAGCTGGATGATCATTCTCGACAGTACCTGCGCGGCCTCTGTCTTCCAGAGGGAGCAGTAATGCTTACACGACCATACGAGAACCTATCGACTGGACGTATGTCGGTTGGATATGCGTCTAGAAGCATTGAAGAAACCTCAGAGAACGGCGACGCACGTGAACGTCCGGACAGCAGAACGCAACTGATCGGAAGGGCGTCTCAAGAATCGGTAGCAACGGATGAGGCGAGTCTTGAACACAGAATGCAGGTCCTAGTTCACAGAATGCGACGAAGCTTGTCAAAGAGAGAGGTTGATGCTGGTTCGCCGGCGTCCGCGACATCAGCATGGGCAATGTCGGGCTGGTCGTCTCGGGAATCAGAAGGGAGCTGGCTGGAGGATGGAACGATATTCAGAGCGACTATTTGAGAGGACACGTCTATATGACTGTCGCAACAAGATGGCATTTCGGCGGACAAATGGGTGCAGCAAAAGACTGAAAGGAGAGTAAAAGTGGATGCAGATGACGTTTGTTTTAATATCGTCGCTGAAGTTGGGTGGGAGAAGTTCGATGGAGTTGTTACTTTGTGGTTTGACGTCAGTGCAAGGTACCGTTGTACATAGACGTAGGTACGTATCCGTCCTCTGCTGCGGAAATGTGGAGAGAAAAAAAAGATCGAAAAAAGGAACCCCGCGATGCCTGGCTGCCCAGCGGTGCTCTGTTCGTCACTGCTGCCCCACCAACATCTTGAAAGCTTCCTCGTCCAACCCCTCCACGATCGTACACTTACCTCTCTCACCAACACGGAGCACGGTCAATTCAATAAAAAACCCTATCACAATGTCTGCGCAAGTTCCCACCAACTTTGACGCCCAAGAGGCTGACAACCTCGAGGATGTGAGCTCGAACCCCTCCTCTCTTCGTGTCGCTAATGAAATGCGCTGACTTATTTTTTGCGTCCAGATCGAGAAGCAATTCGCCGTCAAGGGTACACACGCTGCCACTACCACCTCCGACCCTATTCACGATCGCGAGCTAACCGCCAGAACGTTCCTGTAGTTGTTCAGCACATGGAAACCTACTGGAAGATCCTTGAGAAGGTCAAGGGCTCCACGCTGCGCCTGACCAAGATCGATGACGAGATCTACGAGCACCTGAAGACCGACTTCCCCGAGTTCGACCCCGCCGCGACCATCAACGAGGACGAGATGAAGAGCAAGTCCGGCAAGGAACGGTGGCGCAAGTTCATGATGGCCTACGAGAAGAAGGTCGACGATTACAACTTTGGCACCATGGTCCGCGCCAGCCCCAAGTTCGAATACGGCCAGAACGAGGTCATTTTCGGTCAGTGGCCCCCCGCCGACCCTGTTCTGAACCTCGCCAAAAGGCGATTCTGGCTCGCTCATCTGCTAACTTGTAATACAGCGCCCCGCATGCAGTTCTACGCCATCGAGATTGCGAGAAACCGCAACGGTCTGAACGACTGGATCTACGAGAAGGCCCAGGCCGCCAAGTCTAGCTAAAGGAAATACTTTTTCGACGATGAACGTCGTCTTGAGAAATGACGCTAAACTGAGATTGACTTGCGATACCACCTGTGCTTCGTCACCTCGGCCAGAAAGCGCTTCGCCCGAGTTGAGAGGCTATGGGCATGAACATCGAGCTGCGAATGGTCTCATGATTTCGGACGTAGTACTTCATTGAATGGTAATGCCACGGTCTCGACCTCGCGGTTGTATGATGCGTATAGCACTTGAAGTCCGGTTTCTGCTCTCACGCCACCATTCTTGGATGTGGCTTATGAGAATGCGACATCATGGGATTCGAGCATGTTGGTAAATTGAGTGTGGTACATACTTGAAACTGAGCAATATGCCAGGCAACTGAAATCGAGATATTCTTACGAGCCCCCTCATGAAAAGACTATATACACGCTGCAGATACTGCTGCTAGAGTCCGTGATAATCTGGAAGACCTATTCAAGGAGTTCCGCAGAGACCATGCTTAACGCTACACAAAAGAAGGCTGCGGCATTTCCGCCAGCCGTGGGAGGGAGATGCCGCCATGCAAAGAGCTGACGAAGACAAAGCTATAGTGCCAGCCTTTTCCCCTTTTTTTTCTTTTTTTTTGGTCTCGAGGTTGTTTAATGGCGACTAACTTGGATTGACCCATGGTGAGGTCGGCGGACGGCCTTGGAGAGAAGGTTCAGGCTCCAACATGATGGTAAGCGGATCTTGATAGAATGGCCATGCCCGCGAGGTGATCTGGAGAAATCCATAGGAGATGGATGGGCCCATGTTCGAGAGCTTGCTGTCAAAAATGCTGTAAGCTACAAGGACCAATAGATCTTGTAACCAGCTGATATCCAGCTAGCTGGGCCTGGCTCAGCAAGGGTGGTGTATCTCGATATTCCTCCACTCAATTTTCTTTGACATAGTCAAGTCTAGCGGCTCTACCGTGAGGTTAGCTAAAGATATAATGTAAAGTGGCATTTGAAGTAGATGGTGAGCGAGGCCAGATAGATACTGGAACGAACAGAGAAACATCATTGAGCTTGGCTGTGGTGAAGACTTGTCATTTCGAGATTTGATGATTGTAAGTCTGTTTGACTTGGCGATGATGTTCCGGGAAGGTACCTAGGCAGAAGTGGCTCAGGGAGGACATTGTGGTCTATCATTTCCTCAGCAGATGGGTGTAAATGCAGATGTTCCATCTAGAGCTACGAAGATACACATTTTATTGGCATGTGACGAGGGAAGAGTAAAATAAAAGTAGTATTTCTAGATGATATACAGACGGATGAGATACGAGCAAGTCCCAATCGCCTTGCAGGTGGTTGTTAAATCCAATGAGTTCTGGTGCTAGTCACGTACATTGTGGTTGTATCCATTTACTCTAATGAAGCAAGTACGTCAAAATAACCCAGACGATCGACGAGGCCATGATTGAGCTGCCTCGAGCAGATGCAATAGAAGGAATCAAGGTAACTGCAGTGAAATGCAAGGCTTGAACGTGACTAGCAAATGCTATGCTATGAGTGACAAGATTGTCCATCAACCGCCTGTCTATAGTACCTTAGATAAGGCATCTCAAGTTGATGTTCAGCTTGAGGGCGGCGTATTCCCGCCTTCTCTAATTTGAGTCTATGGTTTATTCACTTTGTATCTCTTCTCAGATGAGTTGTCGTAGAGGGAAGGTGCCTTCGAGTTCTGGATCAGCTTGCTCTTTCCACCTGAATCATTACGGGCTTTTTGCCTTCCGCTTCCTGCCTTCCACTTTAACTATACCGCCTTTGCGATATTGGTTTCGAGGAAGGAGTAGGATTTGAGCCTTTTCTTTACCTCTTCGCCTCCTTCACACACTTTTGCCAGTCGAAGATTTGGAATCCCATCACCCGCCTCACATCTTTGTCTTCACCTGTGGCTGGATTTTCCTCTCGTCTTCTAGCAACGGAGGCATGCTGCAGAAGATCGGCCGACTGCTTGGAGGGAGAAATATTCTTAGCGTTGTGGCCACACTTTGAGCTGCCTCAGAAGCTGAACTCAGACGCCTCGAACGTTGCATCCACCAGCGCCATCAGCTTCACTTTCGCATTGCCTCTGCGCTGCCACTCGTCTTCCCTACAAAGAAGGTATACGACGAATGACCCATCTCAAGCAAGCAGCATTCGCACCTCAACAGCAACAACCATGGGCCAATTCACTTCTCAGCCCCGTGACGACACCTCGCCGCCGCCCGATCCAGTGCTCAGCCTTTCACAGGGTACAGGCGGCGAGCAAGGAATCCCCGTGATCACTCGTATCCGCACCGAAGGTGGTAAGACAGCTACTGGTAAGTCTGAGTTGTGCCTTACTCCCAATCTCCAAAGCCCTTCATTTTTAGTTCTTTCTAACGATGCATTCTAGTGACCATTACCCTGCAAGCGACAGCATTGACGTCGGCGTTGGCCTCGACCTTCACAACCTCCTCACTGTTGCCAGTGATGACAACTCTGATGACTACACTGAGACCTTCGCTGACTACCTCCACGCTCTCGTCTACCGAACAGAACACGTCACTGCCCAAGTCGACTGGCTCACCTGATCAGGAACCCCACGTCACTCTTTCCAGGAACACATTGATTATCATCAGTTGTGCTGCTGTCGGAGGCTCTTTACTCCTCCTGTTCCTCATCGGCATGATTCACGCTTATGTGCGCCGAAGAGACGCGATCAAGGAAGATGCTAAGAAGGAGGCTGCTGCTGCTGCTGGCATTCAGGAGCGTGAGCTGAACCAGTTCTCTCACCAGCCTCACCAGCATGCCAACGAGAATGGCTACAGCATGGCCATGTCTCAACCAGCCGCACGTGCGTGCTCGGAGCCGGATCTGTACCAGCACTTTCACCCGTCACACGAGGTAGCCAATGCCAGTTTCCGTACCCTCCCCGCCGCAAACCCCGCGTATGAGCCGCATCCAGCACAGGTTGTCGCTGAGCTTCCTGCCGAGCCATGTCGCAGCGGTCTTCCGCATTACGGTTATCGAGGATAACCTAGATGGAGGGCCTTGGTTGAAATAGGTTTGGTAGCTTATGGTGGTAAGCATTGGGTCTAGGTTGGAGAACAGAAGTTCTGGATTCACTTGCATCGTCAAGTTGGGGACATATCATTGGCTGGATGGAGGGTCATGTAAGTAAGTCTCTTCTCCAAACGTTAATAATGTTGGTGGTCGTGGTGGTTTCGGAGAAGAGCTAGGTACCCGCACATTGCTGTCTTACGGCTTTTTTTCGGAATGCGATTTTGTTTTTCACATCTTTCACCGTTTTTTGGATTATCATGTGTAGGAATTCCATACTTGGAAGGCGTGTAAGGTACGTACAAGGAGAAGAAGGACGGTCACATTAGCAGACGTCGACGGACCCGAGGCTACGACACCACGACTCAGGGCTTGACGGGAATTGCACGGTTTTGGGCATTAACCCGCTGCGGCCCATCGCCCACCCCCTCTCCAACTCTCGCTCGTAGTAACGTTCCGGCATGGCCCGTACGGGACGACATTGGCATCAAAGTATGGCCGTTACCAATACCGTGGTAATGCAGAGTCAGGGCCGTCGAGCCGAGCACGGGCAGATCTTCGTTGGTTCATATCTGCTCTTGTTGTGGCCGCCTTCCTACGTACGTTCTATATGGCAGACTCCGTGAGCAACTGACAGCCAGGTCTGTACATCGACTCTGACCAATTTACCCGAACCTGGGAGCTGTCTTCATCATCGCGAGGATGGAAAAAGTAGCCGATAACCGATCCATCTTCCTACATGACGCTGCTGGAGACTACGTACCATCTGGGGTATTCCCCCGGGAATAGAGCGGGAAAGAAGATGAGATATACTTCGTTAGTCTGTATGCCACGCCGCTTCAACCCCAGATGGACAGGGAAGCCTGAACGGGGTAAGTCCAAGATCAGACGGGGTGTGCCAGAAAACCGGACAACTTGGCAACGCCAAAACGATGTGAGACTCGAAGGCAAGATGGACGGTTTCCATCTCCAAAGGGCCGTCCGGCAACTGACCAGCTGAACCTGTCAACGATATGTTCACAATCCTATAGAGATTGACTCCATTTTCTTCAACTCAAGGTGGAGTCTGCGTCTTGGTTTCCACTGCTGTGGCTTCGGGTCGGCCGTATTTGAAAGCTGGGGTTTCTCCAGCTTGGCTTGAACGTCGATGAAGCACTCTCGACAAGCATGGAGGCGCTAATCGAGCTAGGCCCGTACAACGCAGCAGTCATGCCCCACGCTCCCTTGAGCCCTCACGAATCATGACTCTCTTGATGATCTGCAGCCGTTTTTGCGCTCGTGCCTGGGCTGTGCTTCCGATTGCAATGTGATACTTTGTCGGGCAGCTCGCTCAACTTGAGGCATTCAAGTCTTGTCCAGGTGGCATTAATCGATTGACCCTGAGCCCTGCCCTTACTCAACCTTTTCTGAGGCGGGCTGTTATGAGGAGAGTCGGATAGACAGTGGAGGTCGGTTTGAGCCTACAACGACCAATAGCGAGGGCATCGCGGCCTTCGTCCCGTTTCTCAGCCAGCCGCCGGCCGAGCAATCGCGCCGTATGGCGTTGCATCACATCGCACCCAGACTTCCGTCCTCGTCCCGACTCTGACCGCTACCTGCCTTAGCTCCCACCTTTCATCAGGTACCTTGGGGTGAGTAGACCCTCGGCTGACCGGGGCCATAGCCGCTACCGACGTGACTGGGTGGAATCCATCCGCCGTTATTCCCGTTCACATTCCCGACCCTGGGACGGTCTCTCTTAGTCTCATATTGCCGTTTCTCGTGTGGGTGGAGGTTCACTAACACAGATTGTTATATCCTGCAGTTCCCTCGTTCTCTCGACGCCAGATTCTTCGTGATTCACTCATTCACTCACCTCCACTGCTTCACGCATCTCCATATGGATCGTGCTCCAACCTCGTTGAACATCAAGTTGGAAACGGTCATGGAGCTTGTACCGATTCACACTCTCTATCTTCAGCCTGCAAATCCGTTTTGAGGCCTCATACATCATCGGTATTGCCGTCTAACAAAGTAGTCCCCAACGATGACGAACAAGATGCTAGATATCGAAAAGGCGCCTCAGGGGTCCAAAGGAACCAACACTTCGCCAAGTGCCAACGAGGCTTCTCAACCGCCAAGACCTGACGCCCGTGTCGACGCTAACAGTACAATCATTTTCAGATACTTGGCTTTCGATACAGTCCTACCCGCGCCGGCCGACATATCTTTCCAAGTATCGGCCGAGTCGCCGCCAGAACCAGCACCCCCAAACCTGTCACACTACACCTCGCCTCTGCAATGGCCTCAACCCCGGAAATACCTCATGCTAGCGCTGTCGTGCGTCGCCACCTTTCTCACCGCATACACGGCCGGCTCGTATTCACCACCGTCTTACATCATGGCCGATGACCTTAGCACCTCTCAGCTACTCGTCTTGACCGGTATCACAACCTTTTGCATCGGTTTCGCCCTCTCACCGATGGTGTTAGCGCCCCTGTCGGAGATATATGGCCGGTATCCAGTGTTTGTCATCTCTGGCGTTGTATATGTCATCTTCCAAGCCGTCTGCTCTGTTGCGCCGAACCTGACGGCCATGCTCATCGCCCGGTTCCTAGTCGGTGTCGGCGGCTCCGTCTTCAGCTCGGTCATTGGCGGCGTCATTGCGGATCTTTGGGCAAAGGAGCAGAGAAACACTCCCATGGCCCTCTTCAGCGGCGCCGTGTTGGCTGGAACGGGAGCCGGTCCCCTGGTGGCTTCACTCATGGTCAAGAGAATGGGATCTCCGGACGGAACGCTGGCATGGAAGTGGATCTTTTGGCACCAGGTCATCGTCGATACTATTCTTGTCATTGCTCTGGCTGTTCTGTTCAAAGAAAGCCGGGGCTCCGTCATCTTATCAAGGAAATCCGAAGCTCTGAATACGTGGTATGAGGAAAGGGAAAAGGCAGGATTCTACGGCGTTTGGTCGGAGGATACAACGAATAGTAGCGATGTTACCGACACGGCTTCGGATTCAGGAGCTGATATGCAGGTTTGCTCCTGCTGCGGCCTCGAAAAGACATCCGCAACTTGTCAGTCGAGTCGTCGATGTTCTACCCAGCTTAAACCCCAACGGCTGCGTTGGCTAGTTAAGGAGGACGAAGAACGGGCATCCATCACCACGCTGATTTCGATGTCGGTATCCCGGCCATTCCACCTTCTCTTCACAGAGCCCGTGGTCTTCTTCTTCTCGATATGGTGCGCCTTTGCCTGGGCCGTCCTCTACTGCACGTTCGGAAGCATCCCTCTGGCCATGTCACGTAGGCGCAACTGGGACATTGAGCAGTCGGGCTACTTCTTCTCCGCCATGATCGTCGGCTCCGTGGTCGCGACCATTGTCGGTGTCCTCCAGGACAGGCTCCTCCAGCTACCAAACTGGCGAGCCGATACCCCCCTCGATGAATCCTCCCGCTTCTGGCTCTTCATGCGGCGTCGTTCCCCTGCCGAGGCGCCAGAGTCGCGCCTGTACTTTACCTGTATCACAGCCACCTTCCTCCCCGCGGGCCTCTTCATCTTCGGCTTCACAGCCAAGCAAGAGTTCCACTGGATCGCGCCCGCCTTTGGCATCGGGCTCGCGACGTGGGGTATCTACTCGGTGTACCTGGCCACGTTCAACTACTTTGCCGACATTTACCACAAATACGCCTCCTCGGCGCTGGCTGCGCAGTCGTGTTGTCGAAATATACTCGGGGGCGTCTTCCCGCTCGTCACGGGGGCCTTGTTTCGAAATCTCGGGGAGGAACGCGCGGGCTCGCTGTTGGGTGGGATTGCCACGGGCTTGACTTTGATTCCGTGGGCGCTCGTCTTCTTTGGTGAACGGATCCGGGCCAAGAGCCGGTTCGCTATCGTGAGTTTGGATGCCCTCGTCCTTATCTGCAGTGTTCACCAGCTAACTCATACAGACTTTGGAAGCCTCACGATAGTCAGTCCAAACAGACGGTCGTATTTTGGATATCTAGATCAACGGGTTCTCAGTAGCACCCCGTCTTGCTGTATAAAAAGGATACATATTGAACACAATATAAAGTCATTACATAAATGCTCAACACGCACGATGCTAGTATACCTAACGCGTCGATAAAGCTGAGGCAAATCAACTCTTAGAAAAGATGAATGAGCAAATACTTTTGTGATTGGGCAACTGTCTTTCCTTTAAACTAGCCCGATATAACTCCTTGAAACGCTCATATCATACCACAACGCAATGGGAATACCTTCTATCCGTACTATACACTTCAGTCATCAACGCCTTCAAAGCTGGCGCAAAAGCCTCTACAGCGCCTCAATAGTTTTCAGCAACACCTCAACACCCCTCTTCTCCAGCTCATCGCCGCCCTTGAGCAGAGACGACACGTCACTCAGTACACCAAGCGGAATGTAACAACCTGACTTGGCCTTCTCCAAGCTTTCCTTGAGCCTGCTGGTATGCTCCCATTCCTTGGCTGCAACCTCTGCACGCTCAATGACGCGGCTGGAGATACCGCACATGGCGGCACAGTGCATTCCGAAACTGCCCTCAGCAATTCCATCTTCGAGCTTGTATAGGAACGTGACGCGCCTCTCCTCTTCGTCCACGTGAATCTGCATGCGACGTGGGCGAATCTCGGTATGGTTCTCGAACTCGGTCGCCAGGGAATGGTAGTGCGTCGCAAAGAAGCCGACACAGCCCACGTGTGTAGCAATGTGGTGCAAGACAGCCTGTGCAACTGCAACTCCGTCATAGGAACTGGTTCCACGTCCGAGTTCATCCAGAATCACCAGAGAGCGCGGCGTAGCCTCTGCCAGGATCTTCTTCGTCTCAGACAGCTCCACGAAGAATGTTGACTGAGAGGCAAAAATGTTGTCATTAGCACCAAGTCTTGACATGATTCGGTCAACAGGAGTAAGTCGAGCGGATGTAGCCGGAACATGGCATCCGATTTGGGCCAAGATAACGGCAATACAGGACTGCTCAA